GATAGTAAGATAGTGTTAGCTCCTAAAAACAATAATAAAATAACAGTTTTTACAAAAAAGTTAATTTTATTTTTAAAAGTGGACAAGTATGTACCGCTGTTGTGTTCTCCAAACATACTTATATAAATTATCAAATTTAATAATTTCTCCAGTTTATATCGTTTAATTATCATACATCAATAAATATTTAAAAACGAAATGACTTAGGTATTTTATTTATTTATTTATATTTATTTATTCTTCAAGAAGAACCACATGACCACATGTTCGTGTGGGTGCCCATGAGTTCACAAATTGAAATATAAATACATTAAATAATTCTTATAAATTAAATATTTACAATTTGTAATATACATTTCTCACGTAGGTACCTAACTTTAATAATATAAGTAATATATATTTTCTTATCTTTGTTTATATAAGGGTATATAGGTAAAAAATCAAAATAATTTAAAAAAATACATTAGTTGAAAAAATAAAAATGTCTGTATTTTCAACATTAAAAATAAAATATCTGTCTTGCAATACATTAATAAATATTATACAAAAAACAATTCAGGTACCTATATAAATAAAAACTTAAATAATAATCGTCTTAAAATAAATCATTAACCGAATGTTTGTATTTAATCTTTAAAAATATATTTTTATATTTATTATTTTCAAGTCATAGTTTTCAACTCTTTGAGCTTTTCAATTCCAAAATCATGTATTCAAATAAAATGCGTGAGAGTAGGATATTACCCTATCTTTTTTTCAGGTAAAAATGTCCATGTAGGACAAAAGATACTGCTTTTATTTTCACGTAAAATTTACTATCTAATGTAATTTTTCCTAAATTATAATTGTTAAGTCAATTAATGTTGTAATTAATATTTAATTAAGCAGATACCTGTCTGATGATTTTCAATGTAACATTCTTCGGGTTGATTAATGTCCTACAAATAAGGCTTGTTGGACAATTGTTTCAATACTAAACTCTTCATTTTTGCTCCACAAACTTATAGTGTTTTCGAATTGAGCCATTCGTCTTTCATTAGTGTGTTGTGAAGATATTAATAGAAGTTCGGCCAATTAAGATGATTTGAGAGATGCTTTTTAAAAATTTGACATTAGCTGGTAATTGTCTCTTTGAATTTTTTGATTGTATGTTAACAGAAATAGGAGTTTCACTCTCACATAGCATCAGTGGTTCTTTAAGTATTATTTGAGACTTATAATAATAGTTGGGTGTTCATCTTTTATCACATAATTTCTCATCATACAAACAATTATTAGTTGATCTCCGCTTATTAAATATGTTCTAGGGTTACTATCTTTAAACTTATTAAAAACCATTGTAATGTTTCTCTTTGTTCATTGACCAACAATCCAAGAGCTGCAATATCGCTCTGACCATTGCCATCCTCGATTAATAAAACATACAATGGAATTCTCATGTGTACCAACTTTTACGTAGATCAACTCAACCATCTACATAAATATACATTAGGTAGGTACAGTTTTATATTAATAATATATAAAATTTGAATTTAATAGATAATGGAATTCTTCCTTCATTCTTCATTAAACATGTCCAAGAAATTCCCTTCATTATCTGTAACAGTTTAACATTGGAGTTATACAGCTTTTTGACATCTTCCACTGTTTCAAAAAAGATTTTACTCCTCGCTTTTTATTCTCGGTTAAGTAACGAAGTTTAACAAGATAAACATTTTAATGAAATATATTTTGTGTTTTATATACCTACCTGAATTGCGTATGTAGGATAAGTCCCTTAATGGTACCATTTTACTGGTCTCGGTGTGGATTTTGGACTGAATCAGCTTTTTATTTGCCCTCATGACCATCAGTTCGAGTGTTTCTGCTTTCATTTGAGGTGTCCAGCGCCGCGCCGTTGGACACTGGAGATATCATACAGAAGGGTTTCGTCCATTTCTGATATTTCCAACTCCATGCCATCGCTTTTCATCAAACTGCGAGACATATGGCCGGAAGTTATTTTTTCTTTTATTTAAATTTTGAAACTTTTATGAAAATTCGACATATATGTAACATTCTTGAACACTTTGTATTAATTCTGCAAGGTATGGGTGAGTTTGGAAGTTTCTATTAGGAACCGAATTTTTTTTTTAATTTTTTTAAATTCATTCCTGCTTCAGATAATTATTATTAAAATTTAAAACCAATAACAGCCATTTATAAACAAAAATTACGATTGTAAATATCAAAATCACTGTTTAAGGAACCTCATTTAACTTTTTTTAAATTTAGCCTACAAAATTTAGCCTACTCAAAAACATTTCTTATAGGAAAATCTCTCAAGCTTCGTAAAAAGATCCGATTCCTATATTTTTTTTTTTTTTTTTTTGAAAGAGATACCTATAAGTACTTCTTACATGGTACATTGGATTTCAATTTTTAAGTTGTATTCCTAAACCATTTTAAGAAACAAAATCAAAAATCAAAGTCCAAAGCATCCTGTAAAAAATCATCATCATTCTAACAAAAAACAAAGATTAATCAAATCAGTCATTCAAAATGTTGAAAGTGTTTTAGTTGTAAAGCGTGTTTTGAGCAAAAAATCACTCTTTTAATTTTTGGTCCTAAATATTGCCACTATTAAAAGACACGCGAGGGGGGCCATTAAAAAATAATCAGAAAATTAAATACTTATAAGTCAATATAGAACAATACACTGTGATTTATTTATCGTGAACCAGTTAATATCTCGGGAAGTATTAGGAATTTTAAAATAATTTTTTTTTTAAACTTTCTAGGTTTTACTATTTTACACTGTGTTATAATCACTGTACACAATTTTTATAATTTTAACTTCCTCCCTCATTTGATAAAACACTATCAACTTTCGATTTTCAAATGGCAATACCTGTTTTCGATAACGAAAATCTATAAACATACTGAAAAAAATAATTTTAACGTTTACAGAATTTAATTTGAGTAATCCGTTTGCGACTTATTAATGCTGAAATATTCGTTCAATTTACTGATACTGGTCAATTTAACAAACCCAACAGTAAAAATCAAAAGTCAAAACGAAATTTTATCTCAATTTAACAATACCCATAACGGTCATAATCGATAATAACCAGATAGATAAGCAATACTATTAGAAAAAAAAAAGTATCGTATTATCACTCCCACCGGAACACCGAGTGTCAGTGAACGACTAGGAAAGCAGCACCGCGCTGCAGGAGCGTCTAAACCAGCGGTTCCCAACCTGGGGGTAATTACCCCCTAAGGGGTAAAAACACGATTTTTTGGGGGGTAAAAGTTAAACTTGTATTTTAAGTACTTATTATCCATTTACTCATGTGTATTATGACTGTAAATGAAATTGTAATAATATGGGAAATACCTTATCTTATGTCCTAATGACACTGATAATTTTATTATCTTCAAATAATACTTAGAGTCTTAGCATATTACATTATATTGAATTTCCTGGAATTATTTTTGTTGTACAATTGTCTACACATTTTATATATTTTATATTTTATACATTTTAATTATTATCATAATATATATTTTGTTTTGTTTTTTTTTTTTACTCAACTTTTTTTTTGGGTCGGTTGTATATGTTGATATCTAACCTGACTTATGGGTAATAGTCTCAAAAAGGTTGGGAACCGCTGGTCTAAACACATGAATGGTGCAATGATTGTACGCATGCTTGCGTGAACAAATAATTCAACAAATCAACAATGATTGTACGCAACGAGCGTCTAGAGACAGCGCCTCTTATCTGCACAATTATTATCAATATTATCAGTATCACACTATCACGATGGTTGCCTTATCACATAATCAAATTTTCGTATTCTTGGTAATTTTTCAAAGAAATATTTAGTCTATTTCTAAAATAAAATATGTAGATATTAATAGAATAATAATTGTATTGCCAATATCTAATAGTGATGCGGACTGATGCCCTCGCCCCTCAGTTCTGTAATCTGTTGCTTTCAAACAATTGTCAATTACTTAAAAGCGTTTAAAATTTAATTTCTGAATAACTATAAAGTATAAACACAAAAGTTGTAAAATTTAAAATTTAAAAGCCATAAACAGTTATTATTGTATTATTTTAATATTTTATTAAATTAATTGAATTGTGTCTTCAATAATGTCTTCATCTTCATTTTGGTTCTCTTCAAGGTAAGGATTTAAAAATGCATATGCAAAACCAGTCTTGTTTGCAAAGTATTTGTATAAATTTTATTTATTACATTTTTGTTTAATATTTATATTGATTAAATTAAATACCTACCTTTAGATTTCATTAATGAAATAATAATATACTATTAGAATGTATACCTAACTATTTTTAGTGTACCTATGTTTTAGTATAAAAATTAGGATGAAGAAGAAATTTAATTTGAGTAGGGAAATTCACATAAATCTATACAATTATTATTAATTAACATTTTTATACAACTGTTGAAGTTAACATCTCTACATCAAAAACAATTTAATGATTCTAAAGGTATATTTTTAATTATATGTCCATACATATAACCCTTTATGAGCCATTAAAAAGAATTTTCAATAGAGATTTCTATATTCTTGAATTAGACTTTTTCTGCCAATACATTTTCTATGAATACATATACCTACATAAAAATCAAACATTTAAAGCTATACTAAAACATTAAGAAAGTAGGTAACTTGTTTGTTATAAAAATATAAATACACATTAATAAAATACAATAGTAATAATATAATTCATTTCTTCTTCTGATCTAATTGTCCGTTTTAGTTTTCAAAATCCAAGTGTCAAATAAACTTGTTTGTCATAACTTATAAAAATACACATTAATAATAATATAATTCATTTCTTCTTCAATTGTCCATATGAGCATATGAGTGTTTAAAATCCAAGTGTCAAATAAACTTGTTGGTTATACAAATATAAATAAATCAAAATATAAATATAAATAGGTAGATACACATAAATAAAATATAATAATAATAGGTAAAATTCATTTCTTCTTCTGATCTAACTGTCCATATGAATGTTCAAAATGTGGGTCAATATTAATGTATGGGGTATCGTTGCCTTTAAGATCATTTTTTATTTGGTTTATTACTTGGATTGTTGGCTTATTTAGTCTTTGTTCCTCTGGTGCTTTTGTCCTTGGTTTTTTTGTAGAATAAAACCTTAGCTGTTTGTCTACATTTTTGTTAGATGGTTCTCGATTCGGTACATCTTTTATGGAGTTGCCTTCTTGTTGATATAAAACTTTTAAACTTGAATCGACTGTTGTATTTATTTTTTTTTAGTTGTTCATCATCAAGTGTACCAGCTTGTGACACAAACATACTATATAATTGCTGAATTTTATTAGCAATGGACTCAGTGGATGTTAAAGTGAGCTGTTGTGCAGTAGGCATTTTCATACACACTTCATCGTTTTCTATGGGATTGCATATTACATCCATCCTTTCATTTTCATTATATTCCATTGAATTCATTCTAATGGCATGTACAGTAAGTTCTCGTTACAACGAATACCGATACAACGAAAAATCCCGTTATAACGAAAGTAATAGAAGTTCCCTGCCGAAAAGCTATTAAAACAATGTTAAACTAATCTCAATATAACGAAATGATTGATTTTTAAAAATCCCGATACAACGAACTATTTGTACAGCGTACAGGTTAAAATATATGTATTTTCCCTTCTTAATTTAATCTAAAGATAACAAGCATACGATTTTACGAAATTATCAAGCCATTAAATTGTCATTATGTGTGACCGTGTTATTCCGCGTCAATCGATAATGCGACACAATCAGTCGGGTGTGAACCTTCATAAAGCTCTCACGTTGGTAATTTTTATTTTTCCGTATTTTATGCTCCTTCTTTATGTACGTACGTGATGAGTTCTACAGTGAAAAGAAAGCAATTTTCGTTGGAAGAGAAGAAAAACATAATTTCTGAAGTAGACAAAGGATTGAAGAAAGGCGAGGTGGCAAAAAAGTATGGCATATCTCCATCTACATTGTCAACCATTTTGAAGGACCGAGAAAGCATCTTGAAACAACTGCAGACTTCTGTTTTTGACCCGAGCAGGAAAAGGATACGTAAGGCACAATTTGAAGACGTTGATACGGTGGTTTACAAATGGTTTCAATATGTTCGTTCCAGAAACGTTCCTTTTAATTCGAGAAAAAGCCTTAGAATTTGCTAAAATGCTCGAAGTTGAGAATTTCCAAGCAACTGTCGGATGGTTAAATCGTTTCCGTGAGCGGTATGGTGTGTTGTCCAAATGCATTTCTGGAGAGGCGAGTGACGTGCCAATGAATTCTGTTAACGAATGGCGAAATGGAGAAGTTGCTGCACTCATCAAGAAATACAACCCGGACGATGTCTTTAATGCGAATGAATCTGGAGTGTTTTTTCAGCTTGAACCAAAAAGGACATTAGCCCAGAAAGGAAACAAGTGTGTAGGGGGTAAAGCTTCCAAACAACGCATCACCGCTCTGTTCTGTTGTAACAAATCGGGAACGGAGAAACGAAAAATCCTCATCATTGGCAAATCTGCAAAACCTCGTTGTTTTAAAAACTGTAAATCATTGCCATGCATCTATAAATTTAACAAGAAAGCATGGATGACCCAAATAATTTTTAATGATTGGTTGATAGATTTTGATACAGAAATGAAAAAGAAGAAGAGGAAAATTCTTCTTCTTATCGACAACTGCACTCCACATAATGCACCACCAAAATTGGATAACATTCGTGTGGAATATTTTCCACCTAACTGCACAGCTGTACTTCAACCTCTTGACCAAGGTATCATCAGAGCTGTAAAATCACGCTACAGAACCTTTTTGTTACGTCAAATTTTATGCGATTTGGAGAAAAATATCCAAAGAAAATGCAATGTGAAGGAAGCTATCGAATGGATATGCGGAGCTTGGGATGATATCAGTCAATCAACAATAACTAACTGTTGGAAACATGCAACCACAACCAAAGACGCCAATTCTGTTTCAGAAGTGGCCGAATATGATGAATCAAATACGCACAATATCCAACAATCTGAGTTAGAGCAAATTTGGAGCACTGCAAAAAAGAAAACGTCGCTTCCTGACGACGTGAATTTAGAATATTATCTCGGTGCAGATGACAACGTTTCAACATGTTATGAACTAACCGAAGTAGACATCGTTCAATCCATTAAAGACAGCAAAGATGAGGCCACCGATGAAAGTAGTGGAGACGAAGACGAAGAAGCTGTGATGGGAAATGATGTGCGCAATGTCACTTCATCAGAAGCCTTAACAAGTTTGGAAGTAATGCGAACATTCATTACATCACAGAGTGATGTACCAGACTTCATCTTTACAAACATTCACCAACTACAAAATTATTTACTTTCTATTAAAACAGCAAACCTTGTTCAAAAGAAAATTGTTGATTTTCTATAATAAAGTTATTTATTTTTTCGCAAATTATTTACATTTGAATTATTTATTTATTACATACATATTTGAACTATACATATTCGAATTTTCAAAATTTCGTTACAATGAAATTTCCGTTATAACGAAAAAAAATGTGGTCCCTTGGAGTTCGTTGTAACGAGAACTTACTGTATATGCTTACACATGTTATTTTTAATACTGTAGTCATAACAAGTGCAAGAATACAAATGAACGCAACATTTGCACATAATACAAATTACCTTGCATGAGCATGGTTCATTTTGTTTAGTTAAATAATCTAATTCTAATGAATTAGATGCAACAGACCAAGTATTATCTGATATTTTAGTAACTTTGTAATTAGTTTGTAGAGCAGAACGATGTCGACTGTTAATTGCATTTACAAAATGAGTAACTTTCCCACCATTACATAATTTAATAAGTCGCTCAAAATTATTATCTCTCACTACCTTGAGTAAATGCCACAATAGAGCATCAAGCCGTTGATTTTTTTTTCCTTTTAAATAAACATGCTTTAAAGTCTTATGAAAAGCTTCTAAAACCATATTCGTATTGAGCATAGCCTGACATCGGTAACATGCAGCCCACAACTTTTTCCGTGGAACATAAGTACTTACAAAGTATGCCCTGAAGTTGTGCATTGCAGGCTCTTCTTCTAATTTGCATAGAAAAGAACTTAATAAATTTTCGAACTCTGTTATATTAGATTCGTCTAATAAGACACGGAGGGTTTTATAAACGTACGCTTTAGTAGTCAGTGATCCATCAATTTTTTTTAAATTTTTACGCCAATTGTTGTCAATATGCCATTTACATAAAAGATGGAATTTAGGAATAGGGGACATAATTTTTATCCATGCATTCCAGAATGCAGGAGCATCATCACTCATAAATACGTTAGGAGTAAGAGAACCAGTAGCTTCTTTGATTTTTGAAAAAAAAACAGTCATGTGCACTTCATCAATCTTTGAACTAATACAAAAAGCAGCAGGATATCCTTCACCGAATTCGTCAATCACAATAATAGTAGTTAAGTTAAAACTATATTGGTTTGTGCCATGAGTAGAGTCTATACATAGTTTTTCACTACTGAACTTCTCAAGAACAGCCTTTTGTATTTCAGTTAAGATGATCAGCATGAAATCATCTTTTCCTAATGGGAAATACTCAGTTCCTTGTGTTTTGTATAAAATTATAGGATTTAATGATTTATTAGGATTCTGAGCAAATCGCTTTACCTGAAGATCCACACTTACTGCATCGACATCATGTAGCTTGTATTTGTGGAGTAAACCAAATTTAGCAGAAATGTTATAAATGTCCTTCCTTGTTATTATATTTTTTTTTTCGATATTAAAGTCAGTGTCATTGCGTAATTGATCAATTATAACATTTGGCGGGATTCCACTTTCAATTTTACCTATAAGTATAATAATAAGTACATATATATAATTTAGTACTTTAATATTCAAGTAATTGAATATAATACTCACAAGATTCACTTTGACTGAATTAATTGGAATAATATCCTAATACATATTATATAAACATTTATATGACATTAAATATAACAAACTAACAAACATTAATAATATATTTAACCAAACCCATTCACATACTCAAAATAAATATTAAACAAAAATACAATATTAATTAACATTAGGTACTTTTCTATATTTTTATACAAATACTTTACAAACAAGGCTGTTTTGCATATGCATTTTTAAATCTTTACCTTGAAGAGAACCAAACTTCAACTGCACAGTTTCCAATTGTTCGTTTAAAGATGAAGACATTTTTATTAAATATTATAATATAACTACTTGAAACCAGTTTTGTTTTGTGTTATTTAATTATTTGTGTTTATCGTTTTCCGTTATAATTACCAAGAGTACGAAAATTTCATTATGTGATAAGGCAACCATCGTGATAGTGTGATACTGATAATATTGATAATAATTGTGCAGATAAGAGGCGCTGTCTCTAGACGCTCGCTTGTACGCATGGTGTGATAACCGGTATTTTATTATCAGTTATATAATATAATAAGAGCGGTAAATTCAAATTTGTACAATGTAATCTCATTACATGTTATTAAGTTAATAGTTAAAAGTTTATAAATAATGATTTGAGGGGTTTTTTTTATCATAAAAGGAATGGCTATCATAGAATAAAAATAAAAATATATGACTTATTTAAAACTAGCCAGTCCTAGTCCAATTAAACTCTTTTAAACATTTTTTTTTTTAATTTTCAAATAAAAAATAAAATGAATTCTAATTGTGAAATTTGTCAAATTGGATTCTCAAAAAAGTTTTCATTAAGACCAACAGTGGTCCTCCAAATAAAAAAATAATAACACAAACCAACTTTTACTCAACTAAAAATAAAAGACAAAAAATCGAAAATGATTTGACAAAACCTTCCAGACTTGAAACACGAGATTTAAGTGATTTGTTTTTAAATAAGAAGTTAATGTCTTGAAAGAACAAGATATTGAACATTCATATTTTAAAGAACATTAGATTCTTTATTTCATTCATTCACCTAACTATTGATGTACAAATTATTAATTATTATTCTTGTATATACCTACTTTGTGTTTTTAATTATTCTAAGCTTGTAACAATAATTGTTAATGACTACTAACTATTAGTTTGTTCTTTGATATTATGTAATTTTTTAATATTTTGATAACTGATAAGGCAGTACCGTACAATCATTGTTGAATTATTTGTTCACCCGCGCATGCATACAATCATTGCACCATTCCTGTGTTTAGACGCTCCTCGCGCTGCTGTATCAGCTATCAATATTATAAAAATAACATTTTACAATTTACCATCATGATTACACAATATAGCATTGGTTACTGATTCCTGGTATACGGTCTTATCACGTAGTAGTAGATAAACGATAATAAATGCCGATAAACTGTTCCTGAAAGCATGTGGTTATTGGTTAATCGTTAATGTTAGTTTCCCACTATCAAATATGGAATATTAATTATTATTCTTTGAACGTTAAACCACAAATACTTTTTAAGTAAATACTAAATTATGTGTATTATTTAAAATATAAATTTAAAGTTCAAGCCAATTATTCCAATGCATACCTATTATATTTTTTGAAAGTGTTTTAATGTTGTATTTTCGTTAGCAAATTTGAATTTAATTAAAAATATACTTCTATCCAATCAGCAATGTTAAAATGTATATGGGAATCAGGTTTCATACTTTGCCGACAACTTTATTTGTATAATTTAATGGTAAGTTCAATCTAAAATTAATATATTAGAATTTTATTTTTTTTATTAAATGATTTATACATACTATTGACAAATAATAACCAGCGTAATAATTTCGGTTTGGTAAACAATTTCGGACTTTTACTAACACTGATTGTTTATCCTAAGATTTACCAAATCTCGTTTGTAAAAGTGCAAACTACAAAAATCATTCGGGGTTTGACTAAACTTTTCTGTATATCCTAGGTTATACCGAAATCAATCGGTAAATTCCCGAAATTCGGACATTTACCGCCAGCAGTCGGAGAAACCTAGGATTTACCGGTAAATCCCAGGTTTTACCGCTATTCGTACTTTTAATACTAGTTTGTAATAAAAAATAAATACCATGTGCAAAAACGATAAATTATAACTAGCCGACAAATAACTTGTAACAAATACTTTATTGATTATACTTTATCGACTATTTAGTATACCTACCTGTTTGTTATAAGGTACTTAATATTTTATCGATATTGCCCACAATAAATCCCATTAAAACTAATTTTAAACATAATTAACGCATTGAGTATTGACAATGCATCGTCTTCACAATATATTGCAGCTCTTATCGATTTGTTCCGTTGATATCATGGCTTAAATATTTAAGCCATGGTTGATATTCAGAGAAAACTTTATCAGGTCAATAGATATTTAAACACATCAATATTAAAAAGAGAAAATGCAAGAAAGGCTTTTACTTTTATTTTATAGGTAAAATAGAACAAAAAAGATATTCACCAATTTTCTTAGAAATTAAATAAAACATATTTTATATTTAAAAATTATTTTTCAATTATGAAAAAAAAAGGCATGTGCCTTCAAATTCGAACCCTATAGTATAGGTATTATAGGTATAACAGTTTTTACATATATTATAATATCATGTATATCTTGCAGTTGCTTAATTAAGTTACACTGGAAATGTAATGTAATGTTAATTGATTTTGTTTTTTGTCTGCACTCATACCTATAGGTATATATAATACCTATGGGATGTTTATAGGTATATCGTATATATGTATATATATATGTACCTATATGTTTATTTACAATAATTTTCTGTGTGCTTATTAATAATATTCAATATATTTATAAATAAAGTATATACTGTACCTATATTGGTATTTATATATATATATAGATACTATTGTAGTATAATATTATATATTATATTATTATAACTAATATATTTGATAATATTTGATACATAACTAATATATTTAGGTATAAAATACATTTACCTATAGTACCTAAATAAATGCATATAAATATTTCTTAAGAAGTATAAAATGTTTTTTAATACTATAATTCAGTGTGAAAATGCCGAAGAATGTGTACAAGCCAATAGTTGTAGTTTATCCAAAGAATCCCAAAGAAAAAAAGTTTAGTTAAGAACTTCACTGAAATAAACAATGATTTTTGTATTAATTCTGTTCACCAAGTTCAAAAATGTGCTACTGTGAATTCAAGGGAGTTTACTCTGGAATATAGTACAGATTTTTCTAACCATGACCAATCAAGGATGCTCTTAAACACTAATTTACTAGAAACTATTTTAATAGAGCAGTCGTGTATTGTTGAAGTGAGTCAGACTATAAATGAACCAATTCCAAACAGTTTTCTAATTTTTGACTTCAATCGAAATATAAATATTACTGATCCAAATGATTTTCAGAATGCGCTAGCATCTTTT